TTAAGGAGTTTTTATACGCCAATTCAGATGCTTTTTAGGACAAAGGAAAATGCATAGAAACGGTAGGTTTACATGGTTTATCACGCAATCCGTTCATTATAAGTTTTTAAACTTAAAGTACCACTAGCATTTCAAAATGTGGTATATTACCTAAAAGCTGACGCACTTTCTAATTAAATTATTTGCAATCGTCGGTCACTTTCAGTTATACCGGAATTCGACGTCAGCTGGCTTGCTTTAAATGGAATGTTATACCTTTTATGACATTTTTAGGTTCAGAGAACTTCTTAGGTCGACTTTGATTGTACTACTATATCTGAAAAATTAGTAGTTCCAAAAAGACCGAAATCGCGATCCGCGTTTGGCAGTTTCGACAGAATACAGTCCACTTCGAATTATTTTATTCGATTATGGTAACGTGCCCACCATGTTGAGCTACGCCGGGATTCGTTTCAGCAAGTAGATATCCATATATTTAAATGGACCTACATGCTATCGAGCCTATCACGTTGAGGTTGGCTACGCCGGGATTCGTTTTCAGCAAGTAAATATCCACACAAGTGGCCTTGTTGGAGCATACGTAATCCTAAAATGTAGCATCGTGCTACAGATGGCGTTTACTGCGAGATTTGTAGTATTTTCTATCTCGAAATGTATTAATTTTTTAGATAAAGTTGTACAATCAAAGTCGACCTAAAAATGTTCTCTGAATCTAAAAATGTCAAAATATAGCATTCCATTTAAAATGAGCTAGTTGATGATCCGGTATAACTGGGAATCCACGTGTTGGTAAAGCTTGTTGCAATTGCTGAAGACCTATGTCTTTTTTTTTTTCAGAAATTATGCCATTGAAGTAAAGACGGGTCTCTGAATATACGTCAATAGAAAGCACTATCAGTATAACTATACTTCGAAGACTAAGATTGAGATTTGTATGGGGGCAATTAATTCGCATGCAATGGTATTGTCCTCTTTCATATTCCAAATAGTTGTAGGTCCACCTTTGATTCCGAGAAGGTTTCTCATGTCAGTAAAATAAAATAAAGTGGACGTGGTGATCTGTGACAGTGATAAAACATGGTTGATTTTAATAAATTCCTTAAATGCATTTTTGTCGTTAAGTCTGGATTTATATTTACACCGCCGATTTAGTTTTGTTTGTAATATGTTATTCTACATAAGAAATATTGAGATACGTAAGCGAAGTGGGATAAGATAATATAAAGCAACATTTTCCTCTGAACAGTAGGAAAAATTAAAACATTCTATTTCAGAAATTGATAAAAGGCCATTTGGCTATACACGAAGAGAATGCTGCAGATTAGTGTATAACTTCCCAGAAAAGAACATTTCGCATCTGTTTACCAAAGAAGCAATAATGGTAGGTTATCAATGGCCCGACAACCTCATGAAAAGTATAATTTTAATTCCAGAAAACCTGAGGCAACTCCCATCGAGCGTTCAATAAAGTCAATATTGGGCAGTATTTCTCAGTTTTGAAACACCAAATTTTCAACCACGATTAATCAGAATTATCTGTAGCTCTAACAAAATTAGCAAAAACGATAACACTGCAGGAAGGAGACGAGTAGCAAAATTTGTTTCAGGTGGAAGGGGGAAATTTGTCACTGACGTCTGCTCTGTGAGTCCAACATGGACATTTATTCCATCATTTTTAATATATCCTCGAATATGAATGCGACCAAAACCATTAAGTTGATCTCCAGGGGCAGTGATATACGGTACTAAAAATGGGTGGATCAACAGTATTTTTAAAAAACTTACATTTTTCTAAACATGCAAATTCTTGGAATGATAACTTCTTTCTGCTACTACTTGTCACTTATGTATGACATATTAACTTAAAAGTTGTTTATTTCTGTAGAGAAAATTTCATCACCTTAGTATAATTCCCCTCCCCCCATACAGCCATACCGGTTACAGCCAATGGACGTATCGTTTTTTGGTCCGTTAAAAGCATTTTATGGTTTAGCATGTGACGATTTCATGGTTAGCAGTTATAGAGAAGTTATCACTGAAAGAGGTAGTTGTAAAGAGGAACCCCAAAATCAGATCAAGCAGAAGCTGAATACTGTTCCACCGATACTGAAGACTCCACTGATACCGAGAATCAGGTTGGTGTCATCAGATATGTGCCGGGATTGATAATTAGAGACTATTCATCTGCGACTCATGTCAATAGTTATTTTACGCCGCATATCGCCAACTTACTCTAATCATTTAGTCATCTCAGCCCAGACAACGATGTTAATAATTTTTTAAAAATATAGGTGGAATCACATTTTGGATTTGTTTTATTCTGTTTTTTGTTTTTTGATATTTCATAGACACTACATTAATATTTTTTACATAAATTGCATTTTATTTACATTCACATCAGAAATATGACAGTTTTCCGTTAAGCTCACCAACTTACCCCCATATTCCCCTATTTTTTATTTTGCCTAAAAACGTTTTTAAATGGTAAAAATAAATTTCATAGTTTTACCAAAAGGTAAATTTAAGAAACTAAAATGTATGTTATTTCGAAGGATGAAAATTTAAAAAAATATAATTGAAAAAATCAATTGACTATTCTGTAATGGGACAAATTTTAATCAAACGAGTGCAACAAATAGTAAATACGTGTCTTTGCTTTCTTTAAAAGAACATGTTTATACAGGGTAGTCCAAACAATTCACAATATGCTAATTGTGGTCAAATTATAAGTTTAATTTAAAAATTTAAAGAAAAGAACTTGTTATTTACTTTAACATAATACAACACAATTCTGAACCGATGGGACTTGCACCTTGAGGAAGCTCTGGTACAAACTAGAGTGGCTGGATTGACTTGCGAGTTTCGATAATTTAGGGAGCCAGGACAGAGTGTAGAAAATTATCTACACAAAAGCGATAAGATGGTTATGGTTAAATTAAACTTGGAGCCGGTAAAAACGTTAATAGTGCAGGTCTACATGCCTACATCATCTTAGAATTATGAAGACGTAGAAGCGGTTTATTCAGATACCTGTTAAGTTTAGTGAAAAGGCAGAAAAACCTAATAACTGTAGGAGACTTCAACGCAGTAATAGGTGACGGTAAAGACGATGCAAAGCAGGTACTTTTGGATTAGACAGTAGAAATGATAGGGGAGTTAGACTAATAGAATTTTACGATTCAGCATAGCATAACTGTCACGAATACTTTATTCAACCATCAGGTTAGAAGGCGCTATACGTGGAAGATACCAGGTGATTTAAGGTTAAGTTAGATTAGATACTTGTTAGGCAAAGATTTAAAAATCAAGCGAAGGGCTATAGGAGTTATTCAGGAGCAGATGTAGATAGCTATCATAACGTAATAGTTATGAAGACCAATCTTAAAATGAAGATTCAGAAAAACGGGGAAGGTAGGAGACGTCTTAACTTAGAAAAGCTTAAATGTAGCGAAACGCGGGAAAGGCTAAGTACATGAACAGACGAAATACTAGAGGCGGCGGGAGAAACGAATGACAGGGACATAGAGGCAGATTGGAACTGTATTAATAAAGTCAGCAGCTACAGGTGCAATAGGTCTTAAATAAAACGAAAGCAGGAAACCCTGGATAACAAACCAGATTGTAGGATTAATAGAAGAGAAGCAGAAATACGAAAAGAGGACAGTAAAAGAAGGACAAAAAAGGCAATAAAGTGGGAAATAATTAGGAAGCGTAGAGCAGCTAAGGAATAGTGGATTGATATGAGGTGTAAAGAACTAGAAGAAAATTTGAAGTAGATAAAACCGATGAGACTTATAAAATCATTAAAAGGAATTTTAGAGAAGTACGGTACAATAGTGTAGCGAGCACGAGTGAGTTTGTACGCCATCTGTCACACGTGTGCGTGAACGACTTATCGATTCGCCGACTAGCCGCGGGCGCCTTTCCCCATGTGCGCCGTATTTGTAAATGTGTGTGTCGTACCTGCGTTCTGGGAAAGCAGTTAAACAGTTCAAAAAAAAATAAACTATCCGGATGCCTCCAGAAGGTTTCAGAAAGTAAACAAAAGAGTTTTTAAAGGAAGAGACGATCGCCGAGAGAAGAAATAAAATGATCGTTGCAGGAGTGAATCGAGAAATAAATTGATAGTAATAGCAATGAAATAAATAGAATAATTCATAACCTGAATTTAGTAATAATTCAATAGTGTTTTGAGTTCTTTAATAATGTGTGTGTGTGTGTGTAAATAAATTAATAGTTTTCGTAGTTATCAGTCTTAGAAGTTAATTTTGTTAAACCCACAAACATTACAACTGGTGTCAGGTGTGGGGTTGAGTAAAAGACATTACAATGGCAAAGAAGTTGATGGCCATGATTCTGAAAGTTCTTTAATAATTAATGTAAATAAATAGTCTTTGTCGTTATCATTCTTAGATGTTAATTTTGTTGAACCCACGAACATTACAATAGTGATAGTATAAGAAACGAGGTAGGCGTAATAATAATAATAAAATTCATGACTTACTATTAGTGTGACATGGTAATCGCATGTCTGATATCTATACGAATGTATTTAATTCTCGTGCTCCCGATTATCTTATTTGTTTATTCAAAAACTACTATGTATTGAGATTATGCAAAGTAAAGAGAAACTTAAACCCATTTTCAGACATTGAAATACGTAAATACACAAAAACAAAGTTCTATTTTATTCATCTTAAACATACTGACAACAAATCTTAAGTTGACTCGTTTCAGTAAGAAAACATGGAAGTATATGTAACTGCACATTCTATAGTATAGATAGATGTATTCGCTAGTGTCGCTCATAGAAAATTGTTTCGTATTGTAAATGCGTGTGTTTAGTGTTTATAAATATGCAAGCGAAAAACTTTTAAAGCCTTGTATCTATTATTTAGATAAACTTGGCTATTTTTTACAAAATAGATAATTTGCAAAAAATATATCGTAATCATTCTCGACCTCCGCTTTTATTCTTCATCACATCTGTCGGGGCTTACCTGTTACACAGTTGCCGTCGAGTGCGTAATAAATTAATGTCATGAAGCTTATGAGCATCGTGATTTATATCGTCAACGGCATGACCCAAGCTGAAACAAAAAAAAAACATGATACTAGCGTGAAAATCCGCCTTTTAAATACATAAGTTGGTTCGACTTTTAGGCTATATAATTTTCATCCAATAAAGCAAATATTATTGAAAATTGTATATGGCACTTCTTTCAGGTATAAAATCCTTACTAACTTTTCCTTACGAAGACACCGCTTTTTTTATCATGAACTGTACCCTGAAATACCTAGTGATATATATTACTATTAACTCAATATTTTAGCAATACAGTTGAGATAATATTTGAAGATACTTTCTGTGATGCGAAATTTTGTTTATTTTCATAGCTTTCGCAGATTGCAAATATAACAGTTTAATAATAATAAGAAGAACCGTTAGCTCCCTAAATTTTAAGAACAGAAAATTGGTTTCTATATTCCAAAAGATGTGAGTGAAGTTCTTTGGCATTAGCCCATCTTCACTTACTCAATGTTACCAGTGAAAACTGAGAAGACCAGGAGAATAACAATAATACATAATACTAATAATAATACCTTTATTGTAGCATACAGCTAGTGTGTTGCATAAAGAAAAATTTACAATATTCTTATTTGTAATATTTGGCTTATTTATAGGATACTACACAAACTATCAATTTTCTTGTAACAGTAAAACGTTGATTTGTCTCTTGAAACTTTCAATGTCACGAGCTTTTATGTGTTCTTGAAGAGAGTTGTGATCCTTTACTCCACTGTAAAAGATGGAGTTTTGGGCTATTGTGTTTTTAAGTTTTTCTAAATGTACGTTATTTTTATTTCTAGTGTCATAAGAGTGGAAATCTGCATTTATTTTTATTAGATCATTTAGGTAATGTGACATCGTTCCTTTCATTATCATAAGTATAAAGACAAGAACATTATATTTGATTAACTTACTTACACTAATCCAGCCTAACCTATACAACATTTCTTTAATCGGTGTAAATTTATTACAATTTAATATTGCACGCATTGCCCTAGTTTGGATTAGCTGCATTCTATTGATGTCTTTAGCATCACACATGTATAAAATTGTAGATACATAATTGAGATGTGGAAGAACTATTGCGTTATAAATAGACTTTTTTGCATATGTATTTTTTAGCCATCTTTTTGCATATGTAGTTTGCATATTCAGTCCTTTTTAAATCACTAGTAATTATTACTCCTATATGTTTAACAACGTTTACTATTGCAATATTAGTATTATCAATTATATCACATTTATACCTCTTTACTTTATCTCTAGCACTTTTTGTCCCAATAATCATCAGCTTTACATTTATCAATATTTAACTTAAGTTTATATACTTTTAACCAATCATTAATTTTCTTTGTTTCATTGTTTAGTGATATTATCCCCCTGTACGTAAAAAATTGCATCATCTGCAAATAGATGACATTTAGTTCTATTACTGTTCATGGTTATATCATTAATATATAGTAAGGAAAGACAAACGTTTATCATAAAACTAGCCAATAACCAACACAGATAACTCTGATTCTTAGTTTACTAACGTGTTTTGTTCATTTCATTCACAGAATACATTAGTTTTATACATTTCGTAGTAATTATCGGAATTTCATACAATTCCTAGGAAATGTATACATTTCCCGATATATGTGTATATTAAAAAAAGACAAAACATATACTTTTCGACTAACCTCGAAATGCATTTAAATTTAAATTGTAGCAACCTAAAATTGCCATGATAGCGTAAGGAATGCCATTAGTAAACATGTGTTCAANGTTATGTATTTTTCTAATTGTTCATAAACAGACCTTTCTAATATTTTGTCTATAGCCGGTAACATATTAATTGGACGAAGTTCTTCAGCCTTAATTTTATTTTGTACTTTTTTTATAGGAACTATTGTTGAAATTTTCAGTTTATCAGGTACAATTCGATTTTCTAAGGAGGAATTAATTATGATTATTAATCTATCTTCTAATACATCATAAAATAGTTTTAATGAATGTCATATTTAACATTTAACTTTATTTGCTGGTCCTGAAGGAAGTTATATCCGGTACATCTACAGAATTTGCGATATTGATAACACTATTTATAAAGTACACATTTAGATTTTCACTTATGTCTTCAGCTTCTGTATATAGTTTGTTGTTAACCGTCAATTTCTGTATTTTGTATCCTTGTTTATTTGTAAATTATGTTTTTCAGTGTATTTCACATCTTTTTCGAATCGTGTTTATATTCATCAATGTTATTCTCGAAGAAAGTTCTCTTTGTGTACCTAACTATACTAACTAGATTGTTTCTCAGTTGTGCATGGCTTTTCCACATTTCATTTCCACCTACTGACTTGAATCTCTCGACAACGATCACTTGAAGTCGTAATCCGAATAAACCTTGATAGTGCTAACAAGTTCGAACAGCGGAGGCGTGGCAAAATCACCTCGCTTAAGAAGCGGCTGCTGGTTAAATTAAACGTTTGAAGCTACAGTTACATCTTATAACTATTTTATGTTCCAAATTTGCTTAAAAAATAAAGTTAATTTATAAATATCCGTGTCTAATATAACGGACCACTGTTCTTTGACAATCCGAACAAAGCGATAATCCGAACAATTCTTTGCAATAATTAGTTCGGATTATCGAGGTTGTACTGTACTTTATAAAATTTTTACGTTTGATAGTAATTAACATTTCATAATTTTTTAAACACTAATGTAAAATTAATTTCTTCCCCACTACAGATTATCTCATGTTAATGAGATTTCACAGACAATTGAAGGCAGTAATTAATTGCTATGGACATTCATCCTGAATTGAAATTCTTCCAGCGGTTATGCTAGGCATCCGAGCGGCCTCTAGAGATGATCTTCAGGGTACATAAGCCGAGATGATATAAGGAGAGTTTCTAACAATCTCTTTACCGCCACCGTACGAACTAACTTTTTAAAAAGAAGGATTCTGCAAAACTTCATTTGACTTTATAAAGTAAGAAAAATATTCGTGAATCAAAGCGGTCAGAAACGCATTCTTGGTTTGTGAATATAATCGATGATGCTATCTCCTCTCATAATACATAATACTGCTGCTGATTTGCCTCACAGACAAGGAAATTTTGTTGACGTTTTAAGTTTGACAATTACCAAAATACCAAACATACGCGTTTTCTGTCCTTTATTTGTAATGATGCTGTTTAGATTTACTAGCTTGAGGTTTGTTAAGGTTTTACTCCTATATCTAGTCATGCTAGAACGTAATGATAAGGAAAACGTCATACCTAAAAATTAAGTGTGCATCATCGACAACGCTGTCCATCGGTCCTACTTTGGACGGGCTTTACTAAACATATCACTGTCTAATTATATATTTAGGTGTTCAACTATAAAACTATTTCTTATAAGATGAATATTTCAAAATTATTTTGACATGATTCCTTGTTTTTCCATCTTTTAACGAAACTGAAACACGAAAGGTACCTTTTATAAAAAATGTTGAAATTGTCCGCCATTCGCTTCAATGCAACACTGACGGCGGCGTACCCAGTTGCTGCGAATTTTGGCCCAGATACCGGCAATATTTCGAATTATACGATAGGCATTGGTGATGTAACTCACCACAAACTGACAGTTGAGTAAGAAACCTACCAAAATGCACTATCCCACTACTAATTGTCCTTATTGTAATAGTCTTTTATAAAATGACCACTAAATAAATAAATTAATACTAATAACCTGTTAGAAACTACGACATTATGTGTATTTATTCCACTCACTTCCAGCAGTGTAATTATACGAGGTTATATCAATATTTAGCTTTTTACATTTGATGAAAACATAATAACCAACTTGGTCCTTCTGGACACGTCCTTGTATTACTCCACGTGGGGTTAATGAGCCGTGCCAGGCAAAATCAACGTTTAACACATGTGAATGGTCAAAGTAGGTCTGCATCTTGTCTCAACTTGAACAACCATAACACATACATTTGTTTTCGTACTAGTACGTTATGTTACATACCTTTACCAAATGCTGGGTGATGAGGGTTGTTTGTGCACCGCTTCTAACTATTCCGTAGTAATTAAAATTTCTTTTTTATTTAAAATAACATAACACTCGATTTCATGGGCTACATTAGGTCCACTTTAGTTTACGATCATGGAATTTTTGATTGTGATAGGTAGTAGCTTTTCTAGCATGTTCAGTCATCTAATGGACCTTAACGCGAGTGCATTTTCTTTGGTTGATTCGTAACTTAATACCAAACATAAACAATAACATTACCCCAAAAAGCAGCTGATTCCGACCTACTGAAGATGAATTTTTCTACGATCAGCTGGCAATCGTAATTAAATTGCGATTGTGCAGGGCCGGCATCAAAACTGTTATAATTTTATAATTTTTTATTTTGTTTCAAAAGTCAAAAGTGTTATAACATTTTATGTTCCAAATGTGAGTAGGAATCTGTGGTATAAATATTAATTATTATAACTGGGACACCCTATATAGTTCACTGGAGAATGTTTTTTTAAGAATAATGATGAAAGTGAAATAGAAGCGACATTTTCACTGGAGTTATGTTGTATTGCTCATATAGTTTGACGAAAACTCTCTTTTGATAATTATACATATTATAATCATTCATATTTTAATGTGTACGCTAAACTGATGTGAACAAATGGATTAATTCTAATAAAAAGAAATCGGGGTAGGTAACTTTATAATATTTAATTACCTTTACAGTGCTTCGTTTTGCATAAATTTTCAACGAGATCCTTTTTTCTTTTAACTAGAACGATTAACGTCAAGGTGTCATAATACCTCTAGTATTTTACACCTTAGTACATACATAGGTACAGAATGTGAACAGCTTGGATTAAAGATGAGAAAGATAAACTACATTGCTTTCATTCATACATGCAAATCGAAAATGCATTTTTAATTCACTCTAGCCGTGTTGCCCCGTTTAAAAGAAAGGTTCAGTTTAAAATGTGTAATGTGTTAAAAAATGTTTCGTTCCAACACTA